CAGGACTACTTAGGTGTTTTATTTGATGCCATTTCAAGCAATTGGATACGCTACAACCACACTGTAAACAAAGTAAGGCCTGTGCATGTCACCGGGAATCCTCCATGCAATCATTAAGGCACATAGAAAAAATTGTTAGATTATATCACTCCCACCCGCGTCAAAAATTGGGGAAAATTGATGCGGGAAAAATAAAAAAATAAAACCAGTTTTTAGCAATATTCCATTGTCCCGGTAAAGATATTTAAAAAAAAAAAAAAAGGGTGATATTAAATATAATATTTTTTTATATGTGCCCTTCTTCTTAGGTCTAGAAGAAATCCGTCCGCGCATTTCGCGGCCGATTTTCACGCCACGCCAAATTTTGCACAAAAATTATGCTTTGACCAAATCCTAATAACATATGACAAATGTATTTCGCAGTAGGCTAGGCCTCTGCAACCCCTCAAGGCCTTCTAATGCTTTGTGAACCTAGGCCAATGCCGACTGGCCAGCAAGAATGCTTCTGTCCCCAGCTGGTTCAGCCTACAGTATTATTAATATTGGACCCTCCTCTAGCTAGGCATGGCAGAAGCAACTGTAATTTTTCAATTTGTTGAAGACTACTTACAGATTTTTCAGCACATTTCGTACTAAAAAATTTCCTTGTCCAAATAAGTCAGAAATAGAGTGATAGCCACAACTAAAGAGACATTCTACAGTGATTTATCGTGGAGATATTATATTATCGTTCCCTTTAAATCTCCATGGATTTACAGAGAGGTGGTGGTAAAAGCAGCACATGTTCACCACGCGAAGCGCCCTCAACCATAAAAGAATATTAGCAAAGATTAGAGGTCCGACCTGGTCCGACTGCCGGGGATTCGTCATGGCCTCTATTAAAAAATCCGTTTTAAATATTACTTATTTTGAAAAAAAAGTTTCATAAATGAATACGAGCTTAAGTTACATTTATATAGCGCATATTGCGCAGTGCCTCTATGCACTTTACATGGAATAATAGTAATAATAACAATAATAATAATAATAATAATAATAATAATAATAATAATAATAATAATAATAATAATAAATACTGATATAATGATAATATATGATTTGCTTATTTGAATTCAGTACAATTTCTGGCATTTCATTTATTTCAGTTACACCAATTAAAATACATGAAAAAGAGAGCAGGTGGGGAACTCTCCAGAACACAAACTATGTGGCCGAAGGACAAGGTAGGAATTGCTTTATTTATTTAATTTTAGTTTAAGACAGACAACAAATAAATGAAGCAAATGATCCTACAAATTATATGTTATATAATCACAAAAAAGATTCCTTATAATGGTGATGGGGGCGGGTGCCAGGACCTCTCGTTCATTTTGGGGTACTGCATAATTTCATGCATGAGTGAACGCAAGGCCTATGCTGGCGATTGCATAGCAATCGGAAAAAATAAATAAAAATATTAATACAAAAATTTTATGTCATTTGATAGTAAATATCTGTTAATTAAATTTATAACAATTTTTGTTTTAAATTGATTCTCAATATGCTATTATCAATTATTAATACTACATGTAGTTTTTTTTAAACCAAAATAGCACAGCGTCTTTACTTAGCTGCCGTACACAACATCGCGTTTGTCCCAGCTCATAAAATAGTAGGCGACAGAGCCTAGGCCTCTTCACTCTTCACATACGCAATTCGTATAGTAAACGGGTGTTGTGGCACGCCTCAGTCCAAGGGTATCTCCAAAATAACTAGTAGTATATAATAACAGAAATTAAACGGTAACCGAAATATTACTACACTACTAGCTAGGCCTAGTCTAGTATAATAGTAGTAGTACTACCTACCTACGTACCGTGCATGCTGGAGAGGCCATTATTATACACTATTTAGATAGGCTCTTCTTTTCCCATCTTGAATTCAGAGGTCGAGACATATTTTCAATCAGAATAGTAGAATAGTCTTTTAAGAACATTTCCAGAAAAAAATAAATGTGATACGATCCTTAGGTACGAAGTTATGGATTTTTAAATAACACTAGTTCAATAATTTAGCCTCAAACCTTATTTTATTTTTGCTTGTTACGCACCACTGACTTGATCAATTGGCCCCAAGATGACAGATTGAGGGCGTCCAGTAGTCACGTGACCGTAACCGCTTATGTCGCAACTCTTTCTATATAAAAACTCTACCTCTCGTAAAGGAGAAAAACCATTGTCGGGAGGAGGAAACAGCGTTCAGTAAAGTTTTTACAGAATATGAGACTATAAAAATAATTAAATAAGCATTTCAAATTATAAATTCTCCGGACCTGTCTCGGTATTTGTATTGTTGGGGGTTATCTTGTATGGAATCTCTTTATATCTTCATAAGAGCAGAAACCGTTTTTCCGTTCTTAGGTCTTACGTCCTATCTTTTATTATAATTATTTATGTTTTTTCCAAATTTCTTTTTTTTTTTGTTTATTTTACTGCTACTTCATATTTTCCAGTGTGTATTTTGTTATGCCTTTCTCTTATTGTAAATGTTGTGTGTATTGTACCAAATATGAGATTATTCTGATCACACTCACTATGGCCATTTGGTAATTTAGTTTCCCTATTGTTTTACTTGCCATCCATTTTTATCAGTGCCTTCTTTCTTTTAATTAAATATGCTTTAATATACTATTTTTCCATGCTTTTATAATCAAATGTAATTTTAATTTGTTTTCAATTTCAGATTGCGAAGCATAATGATAGTGTTCATCTTGAAAAGCCTGGAGGTCAAAGAGCAGATGAAGAAATGGCAAAGAAAAGCATCTACATTCAAGAAACTTTTTATTAAAAAATATAATAAAAATATTGAATAATACATAGTTGAATTTTATTAATACTCAGGGATGTAAATTTAATGTTTTATTCTGGTTTAAGCTTAAATTGGTCTTTGTATGTATAATCTCCAGTTAGTGGAGGTTTTTTTCTCTGTTGGTTGATGATTGAATAAAATAAAATAACAAAAATCAAATGAACTACAAATAATGAAAACTGACTGTGTGGTTTTAATTAACATTTATTCTCTCATAAATACAATTTAAATGACAAAGAAGAACAGACAAGAAGATAAACTATACCCCTTACACAACATGTAACAAAAAATCAACAAAATAGTAAACAAAGATCAATATTGGCCTAGTTATGTATCAACTGAACACTACATACATTGACAACAGAAGATAATTTTAGACCTTTGTAATTTTTACATAGACCTTTGTAATTTTTACATAGAATATATGGGATATTGTCCCAGAAACAAAACCTCAGTTTTTGGTTTAGATACAGCAGCAATATTTGACATCAATGTACATCACTCAGCGACTAGAGAAATCCAGCACTTTCCATGGTGTAGAAAATGAATCTCAACAATTATTATTATTGGAAAATATGAATATTCAGTAGTTCATTACAAAACGAATTTACAGTGGAAATTAATCAACAATAAGACAATCAAAAAACATGCACAACTGGTCTCAATCACATTATAAATTCAAAAAAATTAGGGATAAAATTGAGGGCGCTACATAGTAAATATAAATATTCAGTAGCAAATTACGAGACCAATTTACAGAGGAAAATAATCAGCCAAACGACAATCTCAATAACATGCACAACTGGACTGAATTAAATTATTAAATTATGGATGAAATTGAGGGCGCTATATAATAACATACAATTACCAGGGTGTAGAAAAGCATACAGGTCCTTACAATTATTATTATTGAAAAATATGAATATTCAGTAGTAAATTACGACACCAGTTTACAGTGAAATAAATCAGCAATAAATACGACAATCACAAAAATATGCAGAACTGGTTTTGCATATACTGTATTATAAAATTCAAACAAAGTAGTAAAAAATTGAGGGCGCTACACAACCCGGTTGAAAATTTGCTTAGGAAAATATGAATATTCAGTGTTAAGTCTCATTATAAATTTGAACAAAGTAGGGATAAAATTGAGGGCGCTACATAATTAATTATGACACCAGTTTACAGTGGAAATTATTCAGCAATAAAACAACCACCACAATAACATTCACAACTGAAATTAAATTTAAAGCTTTAATTCAAAGTAGTGATGAAATTGAGGGCGCTACACAAATACATGGTCGTAAATTTGCTTAGTGTATATGAATATTCAGTGTTTACTAGCAATTAAAAAAAAATCACGCCTTAAAGTAGGAATAAAATTGAGGGCGCTATATAGTAAATATGAATATTCATTATGTGAAGCGCTTAGAGGCATTGTAAATGCATAACAATGACATATTATTATTATTATTATTAGTTAATTACGACACCAGTTTACTGCAGAAATTACTGAACCATAAATTGGTCTACATAAATTAAAAGTAAGGATACGTTTGAGGGCGCTACATACATTTGACAAAATTGAGGGCAATATATAATAAATATGAATATTTATTAGTTAATTACAACACCAGTTTACTGCTGAAATTACTCAACCACAAACTGGTCTATATAAATTCAAAGTAGGAATACATTTGAGGGCGCTACATACATTTGATCCAAATTACACCATTTATTTAGAAGGAAAAAAAAGTAACACAGAGGGCGGTATTAAACCATAGCAATAAATATGCATTGTTAACATGAATATTCATTAGCTTCGAAAACCTGTCGCTTACCATCCACAAATTAAAACGCTCTCTCAGATTTACTTGGTTAGCTCAGTGGTTAGTGTTATGGATTATAACCTTGAGGTTACTAGGTTCAAGCCACACAAATATCTTTTTATTTTTTTTTTAAGTAAACATTAAATAAATGTCGTTTAACACTTAGAAATTAACACACTCTCTCAGATCCACTTGGTTAGCTCAGTGGTTAGCCTTACGGACTATAACCTTGAGGTTACTAGGTTCAAGCCAAACAAAAACTTTTTTTTTTTTTTAATTAAACATTAAGTGTGGTTTAACACTTAGAAATTAACATAGTCTTTTAGTGAGACAGTTGGCTTGGAGGTAGACGCTCTGCTTCCTAAACTTGGTACATAGGTTCAAGTCTCACCACGGACAGGCATTTGGTACGGACAGGGCTACGGACAGGGCAGGCGTCTCGGACAGACGCCACGGACAGGGAAGGCATCTCGGACAGACGCCACGGACAGGGCAGGCGTCTCCGGCAGACGCCACGGACAGGGCAGGATCGCCACGGACAGGGCAGGCGTCGCCGGCAGACGCCACGGACAGGGTAGGCGCGGAGGATCGACGTCACAGACAGGGCAGGAGCGAGAGATTGACACCACTGAGAGGTCATACAATTTTTGGTTTTTTTCCCCGTTTTTTTTTGGTTTTTTGGGGGTTTTTTTTGGAAAATTGACCAAAAAAAACCAAAAATCCCTAGATTTGAACCACCAACCTTTAGGTCTGAATCCAACATCACTAACCGTTGCACCACAGACACATCTGATATAAAGTAATTAATTCTAAATGGTAAACCTTACACCAGTTAAGACTACAAAAATAAAAAAATAAAAATTTCTGTTGTTTACTAATGCAAAGCACTGTAGAACAACCGGAATATGTTGTTTTTTAGTGCTAAACAATGTAAAACAACAGAATAAATCACTAAAAACAAAAAAGAATAGTTTTATGGATTTTATGTATGCAAAAATATTACAATGTCTAAGAGTAACAGCATAACCCCCTTCTCATGATTGAATAATAACAGTGTTATAACAACATAGCAGGGTGGGGGGTGGTTGGTGGGTCGGGACATATAAAATCATTATTTCACGACCATTGTATAATATACAATAATGGATTGATTTAAATATTTATGCATGCTTAACTGAGACTTAAAATATTTAATGGTGTTAACAGCTTAAACGTCTCATCCGAAAGACAGTTGCTACCACCGGTTTAGCCAACAGAGTTACCACCAGTTAAGCCAATTAAACTACCATAAGTCTAGGCATCAGAATTATGATATGTTTTGTAAAATCAAAATTTAAAAAGGACACTAAAATAGCAAGTAATATTATTTTCAATTAATAACTGTCACGTATAAATTACATACTTTGAAAACAACATTCCAATTACGAAAAGAAAATGAGAAATCCAGTAGGTTGCTGAAGTTTTGCATTTATACCAAGTTAACTTGTGACAAACACCTGCAAAGACAGAAAGCGTTTATAATGTTATTAAGTTTCATCGGTTGACAATGGCACCTCATCCCTTAATCTGTTCAAATTCTCTCAAGAAATACTATAAGTCTAATTGCTATCTCCCTACTATGGCTTTCTGATATGATAGACAATGGCGGCACTTTGGGGGACTATGGGGGTACATGCCTCCGTCGGGGATAAAAAAAAAAAACCACAATTTGTCAGGAGAAAGGAAAATTATATGTATTGCTTACTTATTAACAAACTCAAAAATTTAATAAATATACCTTTCAAACCCCTAAATTGTCATATTTTCGGGGGCTTCACCCCCCAGGACCGCTTTCCAAAGGTTTTTAACGACGCCCGACCAAGGCCACTTTTTTCTCGTCGAGGATATCAGCTCCCTTGTCAGGAATCCTGCACCGCCACAGGTGATAGATCAGTGGGGAGCAGGTGGGGGTGGGGGAAGGAGGAATTTTACCTAAAGTTTTCTATTGACTACGAACACAACGCTACATCCCTGATGCCAATTTTTGTTTTAAAAAATGCCAAAAGACGGACACCTATGATGTTTTTTTTCTGCCATTTTAACAGTATGGTAGTAGTAGTAGGCTCAGCTAGAACTGCCAGTGCTACCCATGCTTGAAAATGTCTGTTCAAAAATTGGTGCTTTTTCCCTACATTGTTATCTTATAAGGCCAGAACTTTTAACTAATAATACATGTGAACCAAATGGTTGATCCGGGCCCTAGGGTACACATCTGACATTTGTAATGCCTGTGAGGGGAAGGGGACCTTAACTTCTGTTGGGAAGAAGCCAATAACTTTGTTGAGTAGTGCTTAGAAAAAGCAATTTTACCCTCTGAGAGTGCCATTTCCGAGCCTCTAGAGGTGCTCACCTCAGCCCCTTAACCCTCTTCATTTTCACATTGTTGCTGACCGCACTACGTTAAGTTTAATTTCCTTAGACTTTTTTACAACTTTTTCAGTTTCTTTTGTGATTGTTTTTTTGTTCTTGTTGCATTTTCTTAATTTGTTTGTCATTTTATTTTATATATTTACTTATTTTTTTACAATTTCTTATATAATATAATTAATCATAATTTTATTGATTTTTTAAACACAGTCCATCTTTATTGGAATGTTTTGCTTTCTGAGGAGGACTAGTCTATCTTTATTGAAATGTTTTTTTTTAGGGAGAACAGCTGACCATTGGCGTATCTACGAGTCTTAAAATAGGGGGAATGATGGGGCTCAATAAATAAGTAAAGGGGTGCTAGGATACAAAATAAGGTGATTTTTTTTACTTGAGCATGATTTTGTGGGGGGGGGGATGTGGGCGAATGGTGGCACAAGCATTTTTGGGTGGACGTGCAGCTGACTTACAAGAGTTATAAATAACAAATTGAGAAAAAACGAAAATTCTACTCAAATTTATGTCTGAAAGTGTCATAAAAAAGCCATGGTGGGGCTGAGGTAGTATCGACCCTCCATCTGTGAAAGTCCCTCTATGGGCCCCCTCTATTTCAAATTCCTGGATCCACCACTGGGTTGGTAGAAGCCATTTTCAGGAGATTGTTTGTTTGTTTGTGTTATTGTTTTTTATCAAACACACATAAAATATAAATTAATCAATGATAAATATTACAATTGAAATTACATTTTATAAACAAAAAGAAAAGTGTGCGGTAGGAGGTCAAAAAAAGTTTGTAAAACAAACTTATTTTGACCTCCTACCACACACTTTTCTTTTTACATGAAAGTGTCTTGAAAACATGCCTCCAGCAACAAAGGTTATCTGTTTTTTTTTTAATTTCTTTGCCCAAAAATGCTTCTGGGAAGTTAGATGTGTATAAGAGACAGCACACATATATATATATGCACACACACACACAAGCATACACACACACACAAATATACTCTATATATAAATTTAAAATAAAAGATATATATAAAAAATTAAATATGAAATGAATAAATAAATAAATAACAAATAAATAAATAAAGTAAAATATTCATAATACTATTTAAATTAAGATAGTACGGTAGATACGTTAGTCTCGATTATGGTTGCATAAAATAATGAGTGTCATAATAACAATAAGTCAATAATTACAATAAGATAATTGCCATGCATTTTGCATCAGAAGAATTAATACAAAGTGAATTAATACGAAGTGATGCCTGCCCCAACCCAATGCACTGCACGTCCCAAACATCTGCGAAAAAAAACTCACTGGTTAGTTGAAGGTCGTGGGCTCAATTCCTACCTGGGTCATTTACAGAATGTTTCCCACAAGTACCTGGGAACGCACTGAGGACCCAGCTCACACAGAACACGCCAAGTAGGGCAAACACCACTTTAATAGTACAATGAGATAAATAATATAACAAATAATATAACAAGAGGCTTACCTGCCATATATTGAGACCAGAAATTTACAGTGGCTGATTTAGGAATTCAAAGAGGGTGTGGGCAGCGGGACATTCACAGATGTAGGTAGGCCTCAACCCAACCATGGATGGAGCTGAGGAGGAACATATATGATTATGGCACTCTCAGACATACATTTTAGAATATAATTTTCTTTATTTCCAATTTTGTTTAATAATTTGCAAAATGTAGGGACTGGCTGTCTCCCACACCTCCCTGTCTCCCACACCTCCCCCTCCAGCCAGGAATACAAATTTTTGTGCCTCTGCTCATGAAAGTGTCTTGATAAAATGCCTCCACCACCAAAGGTTATCTGTTTTTTGTTTTTTTTAATTTCTTTGCCCAAAATTGCTTCTGGGACGTTCGTGTTTCCTCTGACTGCCAGTCACACACTTTTTTCAGCCCTGCCCCTGCCCTCCCCCACCCACTTTGAATCACCCACTGATCTGTAGATAGGGCCTAAAAAATAATAAGCATTTTTTTGGCCTTCTTTTTGTTAAATGATAAAATGGGGCGGGTGGAAAAAGATTTTTTTTTTTTTTTCATGATTACTCATCAGATAGAAATAAACATAACCCACAGTTGACATTTTGCAAATGAATGTAGACTAGACAACAACTTTAGACAACATTGTAGGGTATCTGGCAAAAAATAAATATAGTTTCACTAATATTTTTTTTTTAATTTGTAAAAAAAAAAGCTAAAAAAAACCCCAAAAATAAATGTTTTTGTTTTGCCGCCCCTATTTTTTTTCAGTGAGTTAGGGGCGGGTGTGAGGAGAGCAAACAAAAAATTATTTCTTTTGGCATAGTGTGGTACCCATCGGCACTGATTTCCATGCTAAGACAAAATATGATGATAAAATATTGAAAACATGCAAATGAATTTGAGGGAGATTAGTTATTTCCTGGGAGATTCTTGCTTAAAGGAGTGTAGAAGTTCGTTCCGATTTCTAGGAGACTCCCGCGAGTTCCAGGAGACTTGTGACCCCTGCCTGGATGATGTCAATAAAAAAATTTGTGTGTATACGAGGGGCACCTTAATGCCATGGTGTGAGATCTAATCACATGGTCATAAATAATGATGAAGAAATAAGATAATCTTATAGTGATATTTCATGGCAGCAGAAGGCTGGGGTGGATGCTGGGTTTGGTGGTATGTGAGAGTCGGCACCACCTCAACCCCACCATTGTTGGGGTTGAGCAGTGGCGGCTCTAGGATATATTTTCTGGGGACGCTAAGCTGTCCGACAAGGGGTTTGTCTGGAGTCCCCCTCCCAAATGAGATTTCTTGATGTCCGGAAATGGCACACTCAGTCTGTGACAGACATGTGTAGACTTGGTGTGGGCCTATTTTTTTAATGCCCTCCCCCACTGGCACTGCCCTTGGGGTAAGGTGTGAACATTTAGAAAATATGGACCTGTAGGTGCCCGGAAATTACACTCTCATACCTTCAAAATCTTACGGCCTCCGTCTTAATTGTGTAATATATACCCCAGGAAGGCATGGTAAAACAAATTTTTTTCTTTCAAAATTGATCTTTCGGGTTTTTTTCACACAACAGGCCCCCTAGAAATAAAAGAATCATAAAAAAAAAAGGTAATATAATGCCTTCACAACAAGCCCTTCTCTAAGCGCCAGGCATTAAAACCCCAACTACCAGGACACTAGCGCGCTTACTCACTGCAGCAAGCAGCTACTGCTACTCGCGGTAGCAATAGGAACGGGCCTAGGGACGGGCCTAAAGGTCTACTACAATTATATAGGTCTTGCATTACATCTAGACCTATAGACTATACATTTACTTTAATGAACAGTGAGTATTATAGCTTTCAAAATCCAGAAACTTATGTTATATATTGCGTTATATATTGTAAAATGTTTCAGACTTACTCGTTTCTCCTACACTTGTGGTTTTGTTTATTGTTTTTGTTTTGAACCATAGCGCCCCCACAAATAAAAATCACATTTTTCGTAAGTATCAGTGTTCCGTCCTTAGCTAAACTTCAGTGAAAAATCCGTCCTTTCCATATTTAAGCCAATACATTTCTTTCTTTAAAAAAATAATCACTAATCAGCTCCCATAATTATAAAAACTATTCACTATCCTTAACGTGATACCAAACCTAGTTAACAAGAAACGGATTCATTAACAACTCATCACAACGTAAATACGGGACTCGAGAATGTTCGTTTCCCGATCAGAAAAACAAAGCCACATTTTCAACAGTCTCGGCTACTGCAATCGATTCGTGCTTTGTTTCGTTAATTTCCAACTCTTTAAAAACATCGATATATACAAAATACGATCAAATTGTTAATGAAAATTAGAAATAGGCCTAACCTTGAATTCCTTGATGTAGGCCTATATCAGACCACAACGTAAAATTGCACCCTACGTAAAATTCTGGACATCAAATTTACTTTTCGTCTGATTTCGGGAAAAAATGAGCAGCGGCGTGAAGAATACTTGGTAAAAATTTATAAAATCAGAAAAATATAGGAATCGACTCGAGCACCTTCCCCCCCCCCCCACCACACACACACACACACATAAGGAAGACACGATGAGTTTCGTGTCCGTATTAATTATTTACGCTCTTGAGATAGACGTGCTAAAATTACTTAATTAACGACAAAATTATCAATTATTGTAAACTAATCAGCTCCCATAATTATAAAAATTATTCACTATCCTTAATGTGGTGCCAAGTCTAGTTAACAATACAATAGAAACGGAATCATTAACAATTCATCACAACGTAAATACGGAACTCGAACATTTTCGTTTCCCGATCAGGCAACAAAATCACATTTTGAACAATCTCGGGAACTGCAATCGATTCGTACTTTATATTGTTAATTTCCAACTCTTAAAAAACATCGATATATACGGTACAAAATACGATTAAATTGTTAATGAAAATTTAAACTAACCTTGAATTACTTAAAGAATATCAGACCACAACGTAAAATTGCACTCTACGTAAAATTCTGGACACATAATTTACTTTTCGTCTGATTTCGGAACAAAATGAGCAAAAATTGCACTCTACGTAAAATTCTGGACACATAATTTACTTTTCGTCTGATTTCGGAACAAAATGAGCAGCGGCGCGAAGAATGCTTGGTAAAATGATAAAATCAGAAAAACAGAGGAATCGACTCGAGCACCCCCAACATAAACAAGACACGATGAGTTTCGTGTCCGTCTTAATTATTTACGTTGTTGGGATAAACGTGCTAAAATTTCTTAATGAACGACAAAATTATAAATTACTGTAAACTAATTAGCTCCCATAATAATAAAAAACTATTCACTATCCTTATTGTCGAGTTCAAATACAGCTTTTTATTATGTAAATGTAAGCTTAATATTGATTATTAATTTTCAAATATTCACCCTTGAATAAAAAAATAAATTTGTACGGATTTACCGGAGTCAAGTCTGAATAGATTTTTTATGAACATGTGTCCCGTTCATTCGTACACAATAGTGTAATGGTTATCGAAGTAGGATTTCACGCTAGAGTTGTCGGGTTCGATTCTCTAGAGAACATACTTGTTTTTTTTTTTTAATTTTTTTAAAAAGTAAACATAAGAGTGTTTAAAAACTTACAAATCAACATGTACCAAAATTGGCTCAATGTATAGAGGCAAGCATTACGAAATTCTAGACACGGGTTCTAGACGCCGGCACCGAAAACGGACCCGGGCACGGCACGGACAGGGCACGCCATACGCGATGGCACTCGGACAGGGCACGCCATACGTGATGGCACTCGGACAGGGCACGCCATACGCGATGGCACTCGGACAGGGCACGGTTATTATGTAGACCCTATAGCGGGTTAGGTTAAGTTAGTAGTTTAAGGTTACAGTAGCTAAGGACGAAGGATGGTAACAAGCACAGACAGACACAAACTGGAGACTGCACGAGGACTTACGATGTACAAGGCAATTCATCAGAAGGACGCACATCTCGGGACATCAAAGGTTATAACTCTGGCATCGACATTCTAGGCGCACGTGCGTCCCTACACGCTGAACGTCACAAAAACCATAGCAACCAGACCACGCGCGTGTTAGCTGCCATGATAATCGCGCGTCGTGCGGTGATTACAAAGGACTAATGATATTTTGCACTAACATTAGACTGAAATGTATTCTTCATTTCAACATTAATTTTACCAAATTGTGGTGAATTGTCGTTCATGAGACTCGCTTCGCAGTAAAAATTAATAAATGTCCTGTATATACTCAAATGTTCGTTTTCGGCACCTTATGCCAACATTGTCAAAATGATTACATAAGAACGTGAAATTTTATAAAATTCGTAAAACTTAAATTGCTATAACTTTTCATTTTCTTGGTCAATTTTCAAAAATCAAATTGCAGTTTATAGAAGCATTTAACAAGCTCGCGGTAAAAAAAAATCAGATGTAACAGACATGGCGAAGTACCCAAAATTAATCAAATAAAAACTAACACCACAAAACGAATGGCACGCATAGACTAATAATTGACGGCTGTACTCGCAACTAGTACCGGATTGTCGATGCCACAGAAAAGATCAAAGGACTGTACGCACGCGCTATGTTCGAGAGCGGAGATGTACGTCCTTCTGTTGAATTACCTTGCGATGTACGACCAAAATTGAATTTAAAAAAAAGATATTTCTCAGATAAAAAGTAAAATGTTCATAAGCAAGAATAAAAAATATTAATAATAATTGCTAGGGTAAAAGTGGGCAAAAGGTTAAGGATAGTTAAAGACGACGGACGGACACAAACTGGGGACGGCACGGCTGCACGAGGAATTATGATGTACGACCTGATTTTTTTTTCTTAATTAAAAAATATGTAAATTATTTCTCATATAAAAAGTAAAATGTTCATAAGCAAGAAAATTGTTAGGGTAAATGTAGGTAAAAGTTAAAAATTTAAATTCAAAACTTGAATTTGTGGTAAAGGAACCAAAAAGGCCATCAGGTGTCTTAAGATAATATGCAACTGGTATTAATATACATTAATATAGGGAGGATAAGAGATTTAGATTGGTGCCGTTATCGAGGGCAGTAATGTACAATTGCTAACTTATACTGATTTCATTACATACTAATTAACGTAAAACTAAGCATTGTTGGTACATCTCAACATCTTAATGGCACCATCCTCGTAATGGCACCATCATCTCAACATCATCTAAATGGCACCATCATCTCAACATCATCTTAATGGCACCATCATCTCAACATCACCTTAATGGCACCATCATCTCAACATCATCTTAATGGCAACATCACCTTAATGGCACCATCACCTCAACATCACCTTAATGGCAACATCACCTTAATGGCACCATCACCTCAACATCATATTAATAGCAACATCATCTTAATGGCACCATCATCTCAACATCATCTTAATGGCAACATCATCTTAATGGCACCATCATCTCAACATCATCTTAATGGCAACATCATCTTAATGGCAACATCATCTCAACATCACCTTAATGGCAACATCACCTTAATGGCACCATCACCTCAACATTATCTTAATGGTAACCTCAATTTAATGGCACTATGATCTATGGTGGAAAACTATACCAAGCTGGACAACCCGGTATTTTTTTGAGTCAAAATCATCTTAAAGGTACCTTACAGAATCAAAATTCAACTTGAATAAGGAACTAAATTTCCATAAATGATACAAACTTTTAATATCCAGTTAATGCCATGTTACAATTTATTGGGAAAATTGAGAGTTTGCTAATATACAATGAAGTTCATGCATATAATCTACATACAAATATACAATTAAAATAACATGACTCGTCTACCCAATATGCAGTATATGCAGTAAATACAGAAACGACTAACGTTCAAAAAAGGGAGTTGAACAAAAATAGATAGTGTAGTAGTAGTCAGGATGAATAATGCATAAACTGAAGAAAATGGACCTTTCCGGATTTTCAATGAAACTTAACAACTGACCAATCAGAACAGTGCTGGGAATACGCACGTGTCCAACAAGAATACGTGTTGTCCCACAAACACGCGGATTTACGTACACTTATGTTATTGTGGAAGGGGCTTGGCGGAAAGGTTCAATCATTATTATTGTCTTTCATTAATGTTTGGTTTGTTGTTAGTTTCTTTCGATACCATCTGATCACGATAAACGAATAAAATCTTTAACAACTTGCGTTATTTATTAGCCATGTAGTAAACCTGATTTCTGATTTTTTTTCGCATTTTCTAGTCACAACTTTGAGCATCTGTGCTGTTAAAAATACGAACAATCTTAGTTGGCTTAATCAGGTTTCGTTTCAGTTGCTTTCAGTTAACTTCTTCAAAAAAAAAAAAAAAAAAAATAGAACTTTATATAATTGTAAATTCTAAAAATCTTTTCCCCAAAGGTTAAGGAGTACAGAAGAGTTAGTCTACGAAATTAAATTATCTGAACGAATATAGTTTGATGCGGTGCTCCTTTTTCATTGCATCATATTCTGGTGTACATAGGAAACAACAGGGATATCAACAGGGCAGTGCAACGGCATGATAAAATACACATATGGTCTTATATCAATATTAACCAATAACAACCAACCAAGTCGTACAACAAATTCAACTACACTACCTCTGAGCGCTAGACGATGCAACGCCATCTGCTGATTGTCGGTGCCAGTCAAAGATCTTATAAACACAAGATAGCGTTCTCCGTGATTTACGCGTGCAAATTCTGTAATAAGGCATGAATGGCGCCCTCTTGCTAAATTGGAAACTTTTGACCCTTGACCGCTCGACTTTACCATTAGGGTATCAATCTTGTGAACAGCAGAACAGGAACCATCTCAGATCCATGGCAACAGATAGGACGCCCTCTTCCAAAGCTGATTACTTTTTCTCTTTGGTATAATAGCCAGAGCCATATCTATGGCTCTGATAATAGCGCATGAATGGCGCCCTCTTGCTAAATTGGAAACTTTTGAACCTTGACCGACGCTTCTATTTGTTACGCGTAAATCGCGGAGAACGCTATCTTGTGTTTATAAGATCTTTGGTGCCAGTCTAAATGGATCATCATTAAAAACGGCGCTGCGTTCTCCATACATTCA